TTATTTGGAAAAGTATATTCAAAATCCAAGGCACATTGAGTTCCAGGTAATCATCACATCTCTACTGGATTTCCATCTAATTTCATGGACTCTGGATACTTGGGATGCCCTGGTGGTGTGCAAATCAAATTATCTTTCTTACTAAACTATTTCATTGAGATTTCTAATGCCAAATTCACCAATGTTCCTGCTATCTATGTGTTTTTTCTTACATGTCCACATTCACAGGTGCTTGCAGATAAATATGGTAATGTTGTTCACTTTGGTGAACGTGACTGCAGCATCCAGGTATATTTATATACGTATTTCCTCTTTAGCTCTTTTGCTGTTATTTACCAAGCTAAAATGTAAATGCTTTCAAACTGAACTGTTAAATAAAATTTAAAAGGATAAGAACTTGCTTCATCAGTTACAGAAACCAAGTCCTAAGTTCCAAGATAACATAAAAGCATTTGTAGCAACTCTGTTTGTATTTTAGGAGTCTTATTAAATTACTAAACCAGCATGCAGCTTATTATTTTAACGATTTTCTTTGCTTCTTAAAATCTCAATCCTAAAAATACATACCTAGCTAAGGCCAAATTTTATACTCTGCAACTTTTAAGGGTTTGCATAATGCACACAGTTGAATTTACTGCCAATCTTTTCTACATAATCTAGCAGGGTTACTTCTAAAGGTCAAATTTTTTATTTTTATGGGAATAATGAGTTCTTTACCTTGATTTGATGGGATATTTTTAAACTGGTATATTTTGGTTCATCCTTATTAAAATTCAGAAACTGGAATATGATATCCGTTGCTTTTCATGACATTTGATTTGTCATTTAAAAAGCTGGAGTCTTAAATCCTCAAGTAAGCACAATTCAACATGTAATGCAGGAAGAAATATAATGTTACATATGATAACAGTCTCATGTTGATACAGAATGCATCATGTGCTTAATTGGTTGCCTATGAATAAGCATTTACTCTCTCTGAAAGGTATAAATGTTGCTTAATTGGGTCTAAAGACAATTTCAATTGTTTTATGAATTATTTGACTGCACTTAGTTTCTCATGTTTCTATGCTCTATTGGTAGAATATCTATGATATTGAAATAATCCCTAGTTTTGTATTACTTCCTTTACAGAGGCGTAATCAGAAACTTCTGGAAGAAGCACCTTCTCCAGCATTGACTCCTGAGTTGCGAAAGGCCATGGGTGATGCAGCTGTTGCTGCAGCAGCATCCATTGGTTACATTGGTGTTGGAACAGTAGAGTTCCTTTTGGATGAAAGAGGTTTCTTCTACTTTATGGAAATGAATACCAGAATCCAGGTGAAACTTCGTAACTCTGATGGGAACTTGATTTTTTAACTTTTATGTAGATTAATCATGATAATGCTAAATGAATTGTTTTTTATTATTTTTTATTTTTTATTTTTTTTATCGTTGCTCAATGAAGTGTTTTCATTGAATAAACTAGGTTGAGCATCCAGTGACAGAAATGATTTACTCTGTTGACTTGATTGAGGAACAAATTCGTGTAGCTATGGGGGAGAAACTTCGTTACAAACAGGAAGATATCGTGCTCAGAGGGCATTCAATTGAATGTCGTATCAATGCAGAAGATCCATTTAAGGGGTTCAGACCAGGACCAGGTATGATTACATGCAAATAAGTTGGTGTTATTGGTTCACTTCTGGCACTAACCTCCACATTTCAAGCACATATTCATTCTGCTTTATTAGGAATTTTTTTGGCCAGAATTTTGCTTTATTAGTTGATTTTGTTCTTTTAAGTGGTTTTTTGGTGACATTGGACTTTTATCTCACCACATCAAATACTTGGTTTTCTACATAGGTGTGAGGTTTTCAATCAAGGAAAAGTTTTCTTTTTGTGAAGAAAAAGATTTAACTTTTATCTTTTTATGCCTATTCTCTTTGAATGACAGGGAGAATTACAGCATACTTGCCATCTGGAGGACCATTTGTTAGAATGGATAGTCATGTGTATCCTGATTATGTGGTTCCTCCAAGCTATGATTCATTACTTGGAAAGGTTTGTCATTTCTCCCATGTTTGTTCATGTCTATGCAGTGTGAAATGCAGTGAGAGTAATTCATATCCATATTATGTTACATGCCTTTTTTCTGAATCAGAGGAGAATTACCTGCCCTGTTTTTTACCATAAGCTAACACTCAATTTCCATGCCTGGAAAAGTATCACAAGCCATATTTAAGTGGTAAATCTAAATTTACAGATGTAACGACTAACAACAGACATCTTATAGGGGTGGTTTTTGTTGGTTGCCTTGTGATTTTGTTGGAACAAGTACCTCAGAGCTTACAATGTCTATTGCACTGCCTCTTTCATTAGTGCTTACAATGTCTATGGTGCTGCCTCTTTTATTGAAACTTTTAGCATTAAAATCATTCTTTTAATTCACATGAAAACTTTCTCTATTTCAGCTGATTGTCTGGGCTCCAACAAGGGAAAAGGCAATTGAGCGCATGAAAAGGGCTCTTGATGACACCATAATCACAGGTACAAGTTATTGACCGAGGGGGTATTTATCATTTGAACTTTCTTCCTGTTTGGCAACCTGTTTTTTCTTCTTTTTTTTTAAAAAAAGCCTTTTCCACTTCTCTTTCACAATATCCTCTGCAATCCATAATCCTCACCTTTATAAGGTTGCATGGTCTTCAGATTTTTTTCCCCCTTTCTTGCTATGGTTTTCCAATGTTTAAACATGAACCTAAAAAGAAAAAAAGAAAAGCAACTTCTGCATCATCTTACGTTATGTGTTGTTACAATGCAACTTAATGAATATGCCTATTAGTTATTATAATGCATGAACTGGAAAAACATAATATGTTATGTGTTGGTATGGTCTCGGTTCATTTGGAAGCTACAATTTATGCAAAAAGATCAGAAGAATCTTGCTATTTTATTTTAGCTCATCTTACTCTCTGAATCTCTTCCATTCCTCAGTTAATCTTACTGTCTGTTTTTTTTTTTTTCAGGGGTTCCTACAACTATTGAATACCACAAACTGATCCTCGATGTTGAGGTTGGCAGCTTTATCACCTGCATTTATGATTTGTGTGTTTTATTTGAATAAACATCATGTGCTTCAGTTTGAGCTTTAAGGTTGTTCAATGTATTGAAATTACGAATCTTATCCTTGCTTCGCAGGACTTCAGAAATGGAAAGGTTGACACTGCTTTCATTCCAAAACACGAACAAGAGTTACAGGAGGTAAGAAGCTAATACATACTTGATTTCTTAACAATTGAATGCCCCTAAGTTTTGTAGCTACAAACAACGTAATTATCTCAAAAAAAAAGAAAAAAAAAAGGCACTGATCAGTTTGGTGCCGAAAGTGTGGTAGGTGGTCATTTGGTTGTATTTTTCTTGAAAGCTGGTGATATTCCATGGTGCATGCACAATAAATGTTGCATTAGTTTTAACTTTTAACAGACTACTCTTAATGAACCTCTGAAACATCAAACTTCCCTTCATTACTTTTCTGGTCTGAAACTCAGACACAAGGACAATATAAAAACAGTCAGTCATGGGATGCTAAATTACATGGATTACAGTGTAAGAGATGGCTAGATATTATCAGAATGGCTGAAAAGAAAAAGTAGAACCAGAATCTGTAGTCAAGACTGAATTCATTTATTTCCTTGCCAGCAACTAGCCGTAGACATGTGTTCTTATATCTCTTTCTGTGTGTGTTATTATTTCTCTCTCTGTGTGTGTTATTACAGCCCCAGAAACTGGTACCAGCAACCCCTGCCAAGGAGTTGACGAGCGCAGCTGCTTAGACGAGTTAAAAATCTACTACGGTTTTTGTTGTCAAAGTTTAATTGAGAACAAATTCTCTTCAGTTGTCTTGCTTTATGGTTAAATGTTGTATTTCAGTAAATACCATGCTTGGGAAATTTCGGTGAAATTTTGATGGTGACTCGTTGCTCCGGTTGAAACAATGTACTAGGGAGTAGAGATACTTCTGTAAACATTTGGGCGAGCATAAGATTTTCATATTTCCCCCATCGGAATATGGCTTAGATAAAGTTATTTATTTATTTATTTATTTTGGTTGCATAATAAAAAACAATTATTTTTTATCTTTTATCTTATCATTTATCTCATTTTACCCGCATGTCATAAGATTCGAATTTAATACTTTTTACTTTTAGCGAAAGCAGATAATTATTAAACTATTTAAATCGTTGATGATTGAAAGAAAGTTGAAAGAATGAGAATAAAAATGCAAGCCTTTGCGTTTGTGTGTATGTGTGTGGTTTATTTTTTTCTTTCCTTTCTTCGGCTGAAGTTCGGATATGCCCCAACTGCGCCTACGGGTTTCGTAACTAGTGATAAGGACCTTGAATCTTTAAGTTTGAAAAAATTCAGTAAAATTTAAGTTTAATTGGATTGACCGTTTAAGCCAAATTAACATACTGAAAAATTTTGGTTCTGTACATAGGTTAATTTGATTTTAACCGAAATTAGCCTCCATCTTATGGTTCATCAAAAAATTTTTGCCTACCCTATGTGTTCTTTATTCCTACTGCTGTCTCGGGATGGTTTTTCCAACATTTTTAAACAACTCAAGTTGAAGCTTTGTAAACTAACGGTCTATTTAGTTACATTGTCATTTTTTTTGTTTTTGTTATTAAAATTTGAACAACAGTAATTGTTAATTTTAAATGTTCAAAATTTGATAATGAAAACAAAAAACTGATGATAACAATATTATTAAACAGGACCTAAGCAATTGTTTAGTTAAAGTTGTACGTTTCTCAAAAGCTTAAGCTCAATCATAGTAATAATTATTTCCAACACACGTAAACCATCCATAGTCACACTATTCTCTTCAGTGTAAAACTCAAGTGGGCATCACACATATGTTGCCTACTTTCAAAAAGATAAAAATAAATAAATAAAAAAATAAATAAAGGTGGGCATCACACATTTAAAATGACATGGAGACTAACAGCAAACTTTCAAAGTCCAAAATTTATTTATTCATAATATTATTTAGGTTCCCAAATAAAGAAGAAACATGCATAGTTCAACAGTTCAGAGTTCTCACTGAGGAACAACAAAAAAAGAATCCTCAATGCCTCGTCCAGAATTCATAAAATCTGAGACGCTGAGATTACCTGATGAAGGCAAGCAGCCCGCAGAAAGTCTTTCAACTTTGCTTATTCCAGCCACACAGAAGGTTATTTAGATGCTCTACTTCTATATATGTTGGTATGTAACTGAGAAGTCTATGTTGCAGCAACACCAGACAGAAACACCAGTGGTCCAGAGCAAGACGACACCGAGTACTCAAGTTGTTTCCTTGCTTTAGACCCACATTTCTCTTTGTGATCATCACTTATGATATGATTGCCACGGCACTCATTGCTACAAAAAGCTTTGTCACCCCTGCCAGCAAAGGTCCATTGTCAGTTTACTACTTAAAACTACCTGTATAATTTGGCATAAACCATTAAGAATGCACTAAGCCTAAGTGGTAAAGACAGGAAAAAGGAAAATATCCCTCCTGTCTTGCGGTTGAAAGTCCAAGCCACAGGAAATCAACATCACACACTTAAGAAAACAAGAATCATTTTGCATTCACCATCACATAATATCTAAAATTTAGGGGAAACTCTTAACTGCTATATTTAGGAAAAAATCATAAACAAATTGGAGCATCAACCATAGCTTTTAATTTAGATTTGCAGAGAGAGAGGGAGATCTAATGATGTTGAATCTGGGGTAAAACAACCTGGGTTGTTAATATGAACTCCTATGACTTCAACATTTACCTGGCCAATTTTGCAACTGAGAGCTGCTGAATGCACCTATAGTGAAGGCTTAACACAAGAGATAATCAAATTTTGATTATAAATCATTGAGTCTGAGCTTCATTTGGGTAATCTTCATAAAATGACAGCAATAAGAGCTTAATGATACGGAAACTAATGCCATGCAATTAACAATGCCTTCCATATTCTACTCTTTCAATAACCCGAAGAAAACGTTGTGTTCTGTTGAAACTTGAAAGACTTAGGTCCGGATTTGAATATTTGATGTATTATGTTTCTGAACTTTCTCTATAAATAATAATCTGTTGAAGGCCAAAAAAAAAAAAAAACCTGAAGAAAAAGCAGTGAAAGTTCTAGTGCCAGACTATTAAAGAGGAACGTTCAAACATAAATGCATTCATAGATGGAAGTTCACTTGTCAAGTATGAACAAACTTATAATTAAAACAATGATCAGATCATGCCTTCCAAGAAGCTCCCTCTTTTACTATTCATAAAAAAGGATAATTTTCGAAGATAATAAGAAAATACTGCAGAATCATATACATATTTATAAATATATATATTATTTTTTATCTTAAAAAAAAGAAAGAAAGAACATAATAAAAAAAATTAAATTAAATCAAGACATCTTGAAATTTAAAATGTTAAGAATTTTCACGAAATTATTTAAATATTCTTAATAAATCTTCTTATCGCATTGACTTATTAAGAATATTTAAAATTTTTCATTATCATTCATGACATTTTAATTGTTCAAATGTCTTGATTTGCCTCCATCCAAAACATAATAAATCTGCTAAAAACTTACAGGAATTTTTTTTAAAAATAATCATCCATTTGAAAAGCTATCATAACTCATAAGCTAAAAATCATATTCAGTAATTAGTGGTTATATCAACTTGCAATGTCTGATTTCTCTGTCAATATCATTCAAGCGAAGGCAAACCGGCCTTCGGAGCCAACTGATTCATTTTAAACCTTAAGAAACTTGGGTTAGTTGATCGGGTTTTGAGCCTTACCAACGCATTAAAAAATCCCTTTCCCCCAATCCCCAAAATTGTAAACTGTTCAAAAAAAATTCAAGCCAAGGCAAAACTGATACAGCCACAACTCAGAATTAATTCTACCCAAGATAAAACAAAACAAAAAATCCACCGTTAATTCAACATGAAATCCAAAAACCAGATTCAAAATAATGATGATGATAATAATAATTCAAAATCATACCTGTACATGAAAATGTCAAGTCCATGAAGTTGCTTCTTGCAAAGATGGCAAGAGCTCAGAAAGTCCTCAATCCAAATCTCCTCCTTGTCATCCACATTCATAGCCGACGGAGCAGTAAACACACTGCAATTCTTTTCTTCATCAAAATAGACGCTTTTCTCGTTCAAACTATTCCCAAAATGAGAAATCACACAAGCATAATTCTCAGATAACTCTTCCATCTCAACATCCTCATCTTTTTCCGAATTCAGACCATATCTAAAATTGGCTGCCGGTTTAGCAGAGGACACAATAGATACCGAGGGGGATCTTGCAGGGAAAACTGCTTCATGGGTATTGCTGGAATCGGTCATATTTGCCACTATGCCTAAGCCAACTACCCCATTTTCGAAGTTTCTTGCAGATTTTGTCGGGTTTAGAGAGGACAATGATTCTGAGAGAGAGGATAAAATGGAAAGATTGATTGAGGGTCTCCTTTTCCCGGAAAAGTTCTCCATTTTCGGGGGAAATTGGCAAGTGGGTACCCTTAAATTATCGAAACTTGAAAACCAAAAAAAAAAAAAAAAGAAGCACTTTTTCACTAGTGAACAAAATTAAGCTGCAAATCCAACAAATTTATCCTTTTTTCTTTAAATTAGAGAGAACCCAGGTGAGTTCAAAGTCGTTAGAGATGTGACAGAAGCTGGAGATGATAGAATGCAAAGTAAATACCCAATACAGAAAATGGTGCAGCAGATACAGAGTGAGTAATAAGCAAGCAAAAGTGAATCTCAAGATTAAATTGACGGGCAGATTTGTATGGAGGGAGAGTGAGGAGGAAGTGAAGACCGTGCAATCAGTCCTGCTTCTCTCTATCTACCTTTTTTTCCCTCTTGCTTTTATCTCTAAAACCGCTGTTTGGAGAGGATGCCTCACAGTTGTTTAACTCGTTTCTTAGCATAGGGTATACCCGCCGAGAAGGGACATGGTTATGGTAAGTAACAAATTGTTAAGGCAGAAGGTGCAATTCAGCCCCTGTACCTGCAATGTTGTGGCAGATCAGCCCCTGTACTAGAAACACTGGCAAATGAACCCCTCTACTACATGAAATCTGCTAATCACCCCTTCTGTTAAGGATGACGTTAGAAAATGTCAT